GACTGAAGCCGATCTCCATAGAGAACATCTCTAGACTTTTATACTTTATTTCATGGGGAGATATTCCCTGTTAGAATGGATTTTGCACTGACTGAATCCGGTTTCACTTGTTGCATAGTGAAATTTCATCGAAAGTGGAAGGTCAGGAAGTATTTGTCATTAATCCCATAGCACAAGGAGTTTTTGTAATTTACTCATTTATCTATTATTTTGGTCTTCGGTGTTTTAGTTGCAGTCTCTTCCCATGTTGGTTTTTATGCTAAAGACACTTTTTATCGACAAAAAAGGAGACAACGGTTGGAGGACAAGCAAATATTTGCACGATCAACTTGGTTTTTGGGAGAGAAATTTAGATACACTTGGGGGCAATGATGAGTTATATTCCTTGCTATTTACATTAAAGCAAGAGAGAGAAAGAGAGAAAGAACTGAAAATTTCAGCTTGGAAAACTTTGACTTTATCGATTACAGTAGATTTAGAAATTGGAATGGGATTTACCAATTCCTTGAGTCTCTAGATCCCTTGTTTGGCTTGGATTATGCATTAACGGTTTATCTAAATGGTCAGACCAAATGATTGTGGATCAATACTTTGGCACGGATATATAGTTGGCTGGTTGGATAGTTTAAACAAAACGGCATATGAATCTTACTTGTAATGGTGTTGTTTAGAAAAGTGCAAATACAAACATATACAGTACAAAAAAAAAAGGTTTAGAAGTATCTTATACAAGATTTTGCATTATACATATATGTATTTGCATTATTCCCAAACTGAACCTTAGGGCCGAAAAGATAACTTATGTCCTTTGTCTCGTCATCATACAAGTTTCTGCCAAAAATGTCATGCCACATGTCTAAAACAAGCGCTTATATGAGTTGATTTTAAATCAATAAATTTAATATTAATTGGCTAATATCATCTATTTATTCTATACTATTTACAGGCGGATACTTGTCTTTAAATCATAAAAATTGAATTTAACTTTTTATAATGACTTCAATTTTTATTTGTACACATGCATGATACGTACCTTTTACACTAATATTATATAAAGCTAATATTTACCTTCGATTCTAACTTCCATACCAATTATAACATTAAAATCCAAATAACATATATTATATATGATTAGTGCTTATGTGCACATATTCTATGCACGCGCTTTTACACTAGTTCAACAATGGTGTTAAGACTAAACTAAATAGGTTGATGTTAGGGCTGTTCATAAGAAGGCCCAATCCGATCAAACTGACTAATTCGGATCGATTCAACCTAAGTTGATTGGGTTTTCATCAGCACCGATCGATTTCGAGTTGTACAAATTCATAAATCGATGATTTGGGTCGGTTTCGATTTTCACACAAGAAAATTGAAACCGACCCGAATAGAACCGACTTAGTTCCGACTTAACTAAAAACTGAAATATCTAAAAATATATATTCCAATATCTATATCTAAAAAATATATATTATGAAATATGTCAGATATATATTTCCAAAAAATATATATTCCAATATATTTGTATGTATATTTTTGTTTATATATGTATTATATATATATATATATATATTCTAAAATACATATTTCAGTTTTAAATATATTTTCAGAAAACTAGGTGACCATGGGGGGCATGGATGAACTTAGAGCCGAAACCGACCCAAACCAACTCAAACCGACTAGGTCGGTTTTGCTTAACACTGGGTCAGTTTCGGTTTCCATCTCTGGTAACCCAATCAGGTCAGGTCGGTTAGAAAAACCTCAATAAACCAACCCAACCCGACCCGTGAACAACCCTTGTTGATGTGATTACTGAAAAGGGCATGGGTGAGTGGTTGATCCTTGCAATTATACATTTGATGCTTAATTTGGGTCAGTCATTTAATCCTTTATGTTGTGGAAATAAGAGACTGTGACTGCTAGAAATAAGACTCAACGTTGGCTAGTAACAATCAATTACAAGTAAACACTTTAGCAGTCTTTGTAGTTATGGCAACTGATAGTGATACGTCAGCAATTTGTTGGGTTTGCATCTGGCCCCCACATACTTGCCCCCAAAAACGTCTCACCAAATCGGAATATGACGCGTGTTATGACACATGCGCATTCATTTCATGGCCCCCTTTTGTAACCCACTCACCAGAGATTAACCCGGTTGAGTTCCGCCAGCCGACGCCAACAGCTATATCGGTAGAAGGTAAGTACTCTGTAAAATTTTTCTCATTCGTTTTCTAACATTCACAAATCTGAACCCATCGGAGAAGACAAAATTATAGTGCTGCTGCTGCACCACCAGTACCGGCTTCTGATCCAGTGTGGAGCAGAGGCATCGGAAGAAGAGGACGCTGCTGAAGCTGAGAGATCAGTACCAGAAAGATATCGTGTTGGATTTTAATCTCACGAGAGATTAAATCCAATGGGTTTGATTGATCAATTACATGAGAAATTGCATCTGCACACTTGATTGAAAAAATCAAATTTTCTCTTACAAAACCCAGTTTTGAACTTGTCCCACATTGGAAAATTATAAGTTTTGTTTTCAGTATGTCAATGGAAGCTGATTTACACTCCTTAGAATTAGTAGAGGAGAGTATGGGGATTCGATACTGCGCAACGCGTGCACACGCGTGTGGCTTGCGATGGGCGGTTTTGGTTTTGGTTTTGGTGCGTTGCTGATCATTGATCACCGTTGATGAGATCAACGGTCACGATTCGATCGGGTGTGATCAAGAGGCACAATTCAAAGTTAACAGTCACCAACTGTTAAATACTTTTTAAACAGTCACAATGTTTGAAATTGTGACTGTTCAAGGTGCCTTCTCTAAACCAGTACCTACATTTTTTTCATACCTCTTCACAAATTATTTAAGGAGCATGAATCAGACTCCAAAACACACAATTTTCGAAATTCACTATCTCTCTCTCTCTCTCAATCCGGTCTGTTACAGTCTCACAAAAGGTTTATTTGAAGATTCTTCAACTTTGCTGGTTGCAGATTCTCGCCCAAGGCTCTGTTGTATCCTGTGAATGAATTTGCCTGTAACCCAACAGCAAATTCAGTAAAACTGAGTGGGGGCAAATAACGTTCTAAAGACAATGTCTTCAAACGCGCCTCAGAACTTCTCCTCCAAAGTTACAATGACCCCATCTTCTTCCCAACAGATTAACCAGTAGGAACGCTTGTCAATCATATTACAGGAGATGGAGAAAAGCACCCACTAGCAACAACAGCAACAAACTTCTGTTGAATTTCCTTTGTAGTCGTTGTAGACCTCAGGTTCCTTTTGCCAGCCATTGATCGCCGACCTCTTATTACCGGCACTCTTTCCATATTTTTCTATCTAGGGAAAAGTTTTAAAATGTATGTTATCCCTCTCTCTCTCATTGTTCGGCGGTTCTTAAGCTCTTGAACAAGACTCCACAAAAGTAGAAAAAACCTAAACCCAGTGGGAGCAAATAAAAAAAATCGATTTTCTGAAACATACATTTTCTTTTTGGGAATTTTAAACTTTCAATTGTATTGCAAATTTTACATGCAGGCGGAAGCCCAAGAAGCTATTATTCAGAATCTTACGAACCTATGTGATGTGGCCGAGGCTATGTGCAAGGCGTCTGATGAAGGCTTGAAGCAATCTTTCTTCGAACTTCCGATATGGAGCACTCCCTGTGGCCTCATGGCCTCTCTGTCCGACGAGTGATCTCTTGCATAAATGAATTTGATCATAATTCTTTGTAATGATTGCCATGTATTCTCTCATGAAATATTCAAATTAAAGGTTCTTTGTCAATATTCCATTTTTCTTTATTAGTATCTACACTGTAATACCATCTCTCTCTCTCGGAAGAGGCAGTTGGTTTCAGCAATGGTAAAATTTTTTAAGTCTTAGACTGCATTTGCCTCTCCTTATTTTAAAGACTTACTTCTTTTTGCAGTTAAAAGCTCGGCCTTTGGCCATTTTAACCGCAAAAAGGAGATACATGAATGTTAGAAACGGCATCAGGGGGCTCCCACTCTGGCAAGTCCAGATCTGTAAATGTTAGAAAACGAATGAGAAAAAACAAACAGAAATATATATAAGAAATGAAAAAAAACTTACAGAATACTTACCTCCTGCCGGTATGGTCGTCGGCATCGGCCGGCAGAAATCGACTGGATTAATCTCCAGTGAGTGGGTTACGAAAGGGGGCTGGCGCCAAGGATTTCAATTCGAAGTAGAATGGAGTATGGGAGAAGAAACGCTTTTGGGCAAGAGAGAAATTAATGGAGGTACATTTCACGACGTGAAATGAATTTCGCACGCATCTCGCTTAATGCGCGTGTGTCATGACATGCGTCGCGTTCCAATTTTGTGAAACGTTTTTGGGGGGCAAGTATGTGGGGGGGCAGATGCGAACCCCAATTTGTTTCTCTCTCTATACGTTAATTGGCTTCTAATTTTTGGGCCAGGCTAGTCTTTATGAGCCTAAAATTTCAGATACTCGACCTGGTCCATATTATGTGCGGTCTCGATGCAGGCCCAAACCGGCTTCGGCTTAGAAGTTGGAAGAAAAAGCTTTAGCATGAATATATCTGGGCAGCAGGGCAGGGGCCAGGCAGACAGTGCATTTTTTTCACGATCTCTTGAAGCTTTGCATTGGGAATATCGCTATGAAAAAAAAAATATAAATAATTTTCAATGCACCGCTGTAAAAGACTGTGCAAATAGTGTGAACTCAACTTGTGAGCATTGAAGTCGGTCTCAGTCAAGAGCCCGTCATTCATTTCTCCAAAGAGGGGAAATGGAAGAGGGTGGTAAGTGGTAACCCGTATCGGATGAGTTCAAATCTGCGCTCCACTGACTCTCGCCCCACAAATGCCCCACACGCCCGTTCGACGCCATCTGTCCCTTTGCACGATATTCACTTATCCCGCGTGAAACTTCCAAAACATATGAGTTCAAATCTCAAAACACTATTCCCACTCCCTCTCGAGTTCGTGCATCTGGTCCCCTGATCCCTCGTTCTTCTCCCGTTATCCGAGTTCTCTTCTCCTTCTCCGGCACCGGCGATCATTTGGAGGTACTCTCCAGTTCTCGTATTTGAACTTTTTCACACATTTCTTATTTTTTTCTTTTTTTTTTTATATTTTGGTTTTTCAGAAATCAGAGAAACCGGCGGCAACAGTGCCTTTACCGGAAAAGTCAATTATCAGAGGCAATAGCATCCATTACCAGAAAAGTGGATTCAAATAAGGATGCTTATTACTCAAGTGGCTGGCCAGATACAAAGATGAGCATTAGCAATTGAGGCACATAAATCAAATGCTCATGCATGTCAATAAAATATCAGAAAGGAAGGCATACGCATTGCCGCTAACACCGTCGGAAAGCCCCACTTTTCTCGCCAACCCATTCTTCCATACAACTTCCCCTGCCTCCGTTGCTGCATCACGGAATTCCCTGTCACACGAGAACACCTACAAACCACACAGTACACATGAACGAGTCAGTCTGGTCTCAAGTCTCTGAACCACAAAAACAAAAATCGTTGCCTTTTGAATTAGAGGTACATACCCAGGCTGCATTGCATAGGGTGATGGCCATGCCGGTGGCACGATGTGACCACTGCACCAACTTGTCCCTTGAGTTGTCTTCACTAGATGGGTAATTGCCGCTGTGGGGAAATCTGTTCTTCATCATGTACCTAAAGGTGTCCTTAACATCCTCAGCGTCTTGCACAGGCACATCCTTGTTACCCGGATTATCCCGGAGAAAAAGCACTGTTGCCGATGTTTTATTTGATTTGACATAAAAAACAAAATATCAGAAAAAAAAAGAAAAATGTGTGAAAGAGCGATGATACGAGAGATGGAGAGTACTGTGACAATGAAATGGTTGGATGATCGCCGGTGGTCGTTGTAGATGGCCAGTGGTTTCTTTGATTTGAAACGAGAAAATGAAGTATCAGAGAACAGAGGTTTAGCTGATTGAAATGAAAAAACAAAATAGCAAAACAAAATATGAGTGTTGGAGAATACCTGGTCAAGGTGAACTCACTAGAGCGGTCGCCAATGCCGGAGAAGGAGAGCTTGGGTGGAGGGGAGAAAAACAGGGTTAGGGGACGACCAATTCAAGTAGAGGTATCGGTTGAGGGGGTGGGAATGTAGAAATGAGGGTTTTGCCCTTTTGGGCTAACGGGACAAACCAACGGCCGTTCCATTAGCCCCGCACGCGGGAAGCATTCTCGCATGTGAATGAACAGGTGTCGGACACTCGAAGTGTGGGGCGAGAGGCGGTGGGGCT